GATCATGTTTTAATCGCCCAATTTATTTATGGATAAAAAGAATGAAGGAATAATGTAAGAGATTAGGAAGGAATTGAAAAGGGAAAAGGTAAGATGATGAATTGATAATCCAATTGCAATATTCCACGCACAAATGGATGCATATGCTTTCATTTTAGCATTCAACTAAGCCTCCAACATTAATTTTTTGAATCTTCACGTAGTGCGCACCTTATAGCCCTCATTCTTATCTCATTCTAATTTTTTACTTATTTGCATGGTTATCTAGAATTTCAACAGATGGACAAGTTATACCGAGTCATACAGCTTTTAAAATTAGACACATGCATTTTGGTTTTTCATAAATATTAATAGAACACACAAAATTTAGGTAGAATAATATTATTTTTAAATTATAAATATACTTGCTCCGATTCTAAATGTAAAAACCAGATAACTAATTTATAAATAAATATTAAAAAAATTAGTTAAATTAATTATTTATAAAAAATATGTCTTAGTTTTCTAAGATACCCTCTTCAACCATCTACAACGAGAACTAACCCCTAATAAAAAATTCTCTTTAATATATGCAATTAGCATGAATAGTTTAAGCAAATATTATAGGTTTGAGAAATACAATAAATTGAGATTTTAGATTTAGAAAAACAAACCCGCAGTCATCTTTTTCATTTAAAATTGAATATATTCGCATAACTTTCTTTTCAAAATTTTTGCAAATATGAAAACTCGGCTAGCTTTGTATTTTTCTTCTTCTTTTGAACTCATTATTGCGTAACTACAAGTAATTAGGAATTTTTTTTTATCCCCATACACTTTACAAATATTGGAAGAAATAGAGTTAAAATGATAAACTTGTCATTTAAATAAATTTCATATATATATATACTCAATTAATATTTATATTTAGTTTATGATAATTTGTACTACAATACATCTCATCCTTTATAATACTCTTTATATTATGTGGGTTACCTATCTCAAAGGTGAGTTTTATACGTTATTTGTTTTGTAATTCCTTAATTAATATTTGATGTTCAAATGTTGGACATAAAATATTAAATATTTTTCTATTATAATTTTTTTCTATTAAAAAGATTTAAACCCTCAATTTTAGTTAAGAAATTTCATTGGTAAAAACAAAAACTTAACTAATTTGAATAGATTAAGAAAAGAAGTTACATTAGTTATTTATAAAATATATATGTTAGTTGTCCTAAAATACCGTCTTAAATCATTTGAATTGAAACCACCATCTGATACAAACTCTTTTAACATAAATAATCAATATAATTAGTTTGAATAAATAATTAAGAAGGATAAAATGAATTGAAGTATTATATTTATAACTAAATTTAATTGTGAAAGTAGTATTCAAATTGCATTAAGTAAAGAACCAGCATCATCAATAATATATCAGACGGCTGAGTTACAATTATTAGACTCACATCAAAATGCGATTCCCTGACTAACACACACAACACACATTTTATTATATTCTTTTGAGGACCCCACACGAAGGATGTGGATCCTTTATTAGGTTCTCTTGTTCAATTTTAGAATGATGCTCCATTTACACCCTGCGTTTTTCTTTTGTATTGCTAGAGATAGAGCAATTTATACATTACATATTGTTATTTTGTAATTACGTTTCTTTAATTTCTTCCTTCTCGTTTTAAAATCTCAGATCACAAGTTAACCTAGTCAGTAGAGAGCCTCTTTAATTTATAAATCATATCTTTCACTTGTGGAGGTCCTATTTTAAACTTATAAACCATATTTTTCCTATTTGTGAGTATCCAACTTCTAATTAGAATTCTTCATGTGACTCTTAATATAAAAATTAGTTGACTAATTTGAATAGATTAAGAAAATTAGCTAAGTTAGTTATTTTTAATAAATATATATTGTCTTTCTTAAAATATTCTTACTAATAATATGTATTAGCTAAAATTACCATTTGATGAAATATTTAACATGTCCAATTACTATAATGACTATCTTAAAAAAAAAAAAGATAACTATGAGGGATAAAATGAACGAGACTCTTATTTTTAGGACAAAATTGAATGTCAAACTAGCTTTCATGTTAAATATAAGAGTTAATATGAATGTTATAAATACAAATTTAAAAAGTGTTTAAACTATTGAATGAAAAATGCCTTTGAACTCTTAAACGTGACTTCCATGGGGAGGCTTTCTATACGAGACTCGTAACATTGCAAATAATTTTGTGATTGGAAATAATTATTCAGAGATGATCATCTCTCCCTTTTAACGATGAGCTATTTTGGCCTATTAGTATTGTTGCATGCAATTTTCTGAGGGAGAATCCAAACATTTCAGAAATCAGTCAGAAAGAACCAGATTAGGGTTCTTGCACAAAAACATCGATTTCAGAGTTGAGTCCCTTTCAGCACAGAAAAGATTTCTTTGTTTTCTTTTTAATATTTTGTTTGGTTTTGCCTATCGGTCAATTTTATCAAACTGCAGTTCTGTTTCTCTTCTCTCCCTCTCCGATTAGAAATTTCTTTTTTGTTTTCCGGCATTTTCTTTCTGAGAGTCCAAACAGCAGATAAGCCAAGAAAATCTTGCGCATTTTTATGGGGCGCTTGGAAATCCGAGAATGTTTGGCCCTACGAGAGACTCTGTTCGGCTCATCTTTTTTGGGGATTCCCCGATCGTCCTTCTGTTGCTGCTCCCTTCAATTAGTACTTCCCTTCTCTTTCGTCCAAACGCTGCCTCTGTCCTGCGCATCAATGAGCACATTCTATCAGCTGACCAAACAAAAAACAAAACGGAACTAAGAAAACATAAGGAATACATATAGATGAATAATAATAAGGGAAAATGACACATAAAGAAGCTTGAAAATGTGAAATGTTAATTTGAAAAGCTAAGAAAATGTAATGACAGAGAGGGAAGTCCTTCCCAAATTGAAATTTTGTAATTAAGTGAAATAACAAAAATACTCTGTCCTTTTTTTTTGTAAAAAAAACTCAGTTCCTCACCGGTGGCCGACAGCGGCTGGTGCGTTGGTTGCCGATAGATTTTTTTTTCATGGGAGAATATTGCAAGAAGTGGTGGGAGTGGGATTGGATTCCATAACCTTTTGGCCATTTGGGCCAACAAAAAAGCAGATGATCATTAGACCATCAAAGACGACTTCTTAATCTTATAATGCAAACAAAAATATAAGTTGACTCTTTTACTGTAACTCTAACCCGTGACAACAGTTTACCTGAAGATGACAAGTCTTAATTGAGAAATAATAAGTCTAAATTTGATATTAACAAAGCAACTTTTCCTAAGTCGTTGACCACCGATGAGGGGTTGAGTTTTTTAAAAAAAAAAGACAGAGCATTTTTGTCATTTCACTGAATTTCAAAATTCTAATTTGGGAAGGACTTTTCTCTCTGTTATTACATTTCGTTAGCTTTCCAAATTGGAATTTCAGATATTCCACCTTCTTTATCTATCATTTTTCCTACTACTACTACTACTACTAACTAATAATAATAATAATAATAATAATAATAATAATAATAATTAAAATTTGGAAAAATTTGGGATAAATATGGTTGAAAATTTAATTGTCAAATGGGATTTAAGAATTTTGTGTAACTTAACTTCCATTGTGCAACTTAATTTCATTTATATGCAATTTATCTTCCGATGTACAATAATCTTCTTTTATGTGATGTGCAACTCAATTTCTCTTTGTGCAAATAAAATTTTCTTATGTGTAAGTTATTTTCCCTATGTGCAAACTAATTTTTTATATCTAAATAATGTTTTGTGCAAACTATTTTTTCTTTGTATAACTTAATTTCCTTTGTGTGCAACTAATCTTTCCTTATAAAATTAATTATCCTAGGTTCTATTTGCCAATTAAATTTTCAACAAGAGATTTATCCTCAGTTTTCCTAAAAATCTTATACTATAAAATATAACTTTTTTCTGTAATTAAAACTTTTAGTCATTAAGACCTTTACAATAATTTCAAATTTTAAATATTTTTGCATTAAATTATTTCAATTTATAATCTTGAGATATGATTTTTACTAGTTATAAAGAGCATCCATGATTAAGTCACTGGCGGGAAATCCCAGTTTATTTTATTAACGATTGATTTTCATTTTAATTTAAAATTTAATTTAAATTATAATAACATATTAATTTACAGTCTGCGCAAATGTTTATACAAAAAATAAAATTTATAGTTCACACGATATTATATTTGAGAAATTTAAGTTTAAATAGGATGAAATGTAACAAAATTCACTAGAAAAAAGAAGAAGAAATGCAGCAAAATTATTACTAACTATATATGAGCCAATATTTTGAGAAATGAGTTATACCATATAAGTAATAACTTACAGAATAGCAACAGTTACTATAGATTCTAAATTACATATTGATATTGGTTTTTTATTATAATTGAAATCTATATTTTTAATAATTAAAAAATAAATTGAAGGAAAATATGATGGGATCAAGTGGATTTTTTTCTCAGATAAATAAGTATTTGGGACAAAAAAAGTCTCAAAAAATAATAAAAAAATCTTACAACAATGACTGTTAAATTTTAAAATTTTAAATTAGTATTGATTACTATACTCATAAAGAAAATGACTATACTTGGAAAATAAATGACAACATATTTTCATAATAATTTTTTATTTCAAATTTTAAAATTCAACAGCCAAATTTTGTCTGGATAATAATATAATCTTGACAAAAAAAAAAGGAAAGATAATATTATGAAAGTTTGCCGGGGACTTTCTGTGGCTTGTCGGAGTGGTTGCCCACAGAAAAAGATTCACACAAATATAAAAACAACACATTACAGATTCTTCAACTCAAAACAATTTTAAATTTCCACAATATTCTTTTAAGTTTCCCGTTTTCATTTCAACATTCCCATTTTTCTTAAAAAAAGAATATTTTAAATTTTTGTGTCGTGCTGGGAGTATATTAATACATGAACATAATAACTGATAACCCAAAAGCACAGAGAAGCTTCTCTCTATGATCATCAACATATATCTTTTTTGGCCTGTTGAATCCTGATTCTTGTTCAATCTTAGCTTCTACCTCTCTCTTTCTGTCTCTCACTTCATTCTTTATTCTTTCCCATTTTCGTGTTTCCTGAGAATAATTTACCTTGGTTTCATGTCTGTGCCAGAGCAAGACTAGGTAAGTTTATCAGAGACTCCAACTCCATCAATGGAAAGCTCAGACAAGTTTTCTCAGAGAAGAAACGGCTTGAATCTTAAGGCAACTGAACTACGGCTCGGATTACCCGGGTCGGAGTCACCCGAGAGGGATTTGGATTCGGAGGATAAGAACGAGTATCCGTTAGGCATACTCAAGAATCTTGTGTCTGGGGCCAAGAGGGGTTTCTCAGACGCCATTCATGGTGGTTCTGGGAAATGGGTTCTCTCTGGCAAAGGTGGTTCTGATATGGTTTTGGGTAAAGATTGTGGCTTGTTCTCTCCCAGAGGTGGTAACTCCGGCAAGACCACTGTCGGGTCGGATTCCGGCAATCATCAAGCGGGTTTGGGTCCCGCCGTTGTGAAAGATACTATTCCTCAGCCAACAAAGCCTTTGAATGAGAAGAAGCCTCAGTTTCCTGCTCCTGCTTCAAAGTATCATCATCTTCCTTTCATTTCATCCTTCTCCTTCATTACTCCCTTACTTTTTGTGTGTGCGCGTGTGCGCGCGGGTGCTTTTTTTTTTTGCCAGTTTTGTTGCTTCTCGTTTCCTCCTGGATCCGTCTGTTGTTAGTCGTTGCTTCTGCCTTATGAAAACTTTTTATATTTGCTATGTTCCTGGTAGAACTACGAAGCAAGAAGGAAACTACATTGAGTTTGAAGGTTTTTGTTTTGATACTTTTGAAAAAGAGGAAACGAATGTTTTCTTAGGAAAAAAATTTGTTTCAGTTACCTGAAAACCTGTTCATGGGAAAACTTGTATTCTCCGTCTTTTCCTGGTTCTAGTTATCTTCTTTTCTTAGTCTCTAATGTCATGATGTAATATTTCTATGTAATTTAGAGGATATTACTTCTTTGTTAATCATCTGATAGTTCTCTTCTTCGAGATTCCATATAGTTTCTTTTGAGTCCTGCTTGTTTATGATTTCTTGTCGCATATGATTCCAGCTTGTACTCCTCCAAGTATTTGGTGTCTTAAAAATTCCATCTGATTTGTTTTCCTATGCCTCGAGATTCTCCTCCCTCCTATTCTGTTCTTTGAATCTAAAGAGTACCTGATTTTGTATTATCTACAATATAACTTGTGAAATTATAAATCACTGGCCTACTCAGAACTTATGTCTCTGAATTGATGTTCCTTGTACAAGAACTACTACAAAAGAGTAACTTGTTGATTACATGTGAATAAGGGCACAAGTTGTGGGATGGCCACCAATCCGATCTTTTCGGAAGAACTCAATGGCTTCTCAGCCTCAAAAGAATGGTGATGATGCAGAATCAGGCAAGAGTGGATGTCTTTATGTAAAAGTGAGCATGGATGGTGCTCCATACTTGAGGAAGGCTGATCTCAACAACTTTGGCTCTTACAAGGAACTTTCTTCTGCACTGGAAAAGATGTTCAGTGGCTTTACAATGAGTGAGTTCCTTTCTACCTTCAACCCTTCCTGTCCCTTTCTAGCTTTTCCCTTTTCTTTTACATATGGTCTAGTGTTTTGATCTGGTGATCTGGACAGCTAAATATGAAAGGAAAATTTTTTTCCCTTATCAATAGTGGTTGGATCAAGTAAAAGGGGCTTTATTCACCTTAAGTAAGAAGGTTAAGGGTTCTAATCTAATGCATGGAAGAAAAATCACATCCGGAGAACTACTTCAACTAAGCCCGATAATGCTTGAATCTAATCTAGTTACAGAACTAGATCTCATGGTGAATGATATGTCTAAAAAGGTTGGTTATTGGCAGAGTCTAATGACATCATGTGATCTATGTAATTGACTTCACTTAGTGAGATCAGACTTGTTGTAGTACTTACTAAAAGAGATTATCTTACTATATTATTTTTACATTTGAAGATGTTTGGATACTTGCATTCATTATTCTGAGAATGTTGTTATCATCGGCGAATTCAGGTCAATGCGGCTCTCATGGAGTTTCTGGTCGAGATAATATGAGTGAGAGTGGATTGATGGATCTTCTTAATGGATCGGAATACGTGCTCACATATGAAGACAAGGATGGTGATTGGATGCTAGTTGGTGATGTTCCTTGGGAGTAAGTGCCAAAACCTCTTCCGATTAAAGTCTATTACATTAATATTAACTTCTTTTATTATAGGGCTTTAATAAAGAGAAATTGCCTCATCTTTATTCTACTATAATCAACAAAGAACGAGTTAATGAGTACCTAAATCTTAAAACTAGCTTGCTGTTCTTGTTTCAGGATGTTCACTGATTCTTGCAAGAGGATGAGGATAATGAAGAGTTCTGAAGCCATTGGGTTAGGTAGGGCCAGGATTTCTAATCATAATCTTGAACCCTTTCTGCTTTCATTTATATCAAATTTGCAGGATCAAAGGCCTGAATCTCAGGTCTTAAAAAATAAGACTGCATTATACTAATTTAATGCTAGAAGCTCCTCTAATATCAAATTTATAGCAAGTTGTAGCATTCATAAACTGTGAATACTGTGACTGGTTCTCTATGTTCTGTGCAGCTACAAGAGTTCAAAGATCTGCTATAATTAGGCCAGATTTAAATGGTGATCTTACGTATTATCTGATTTTTGCAGCACCGAGAGCCATGGAAAAGTGCAGAAGTCGGAACTAGAGGAATGTGAAACCAGATTGAAGCATATGATCATAAATATATAAGAGGTGGGTTTTATGCAAGTGGTGGAACTGGAAGAGGCTAAAATGGTTAAGGGCCTTGCCTGTGTTATATGTATAATTTGATATGAGAGAGATTTAAGTGCCTCAAAACTTATTATTAGTTGCTGTTGTAGATGTTTTAAGTTTTCTTGTGTTTGTGGTAACCCCCTCTTAGTTTTAATCTATGTTGTTTCTGACTTATTCAGGCTAAGGCTATGTTGCTATGAAAATTTTGTATTCCTTTCCCAAATCTCTCTCTCTCTCTCTCTAGGTTGATGTAAGAAGGAAGATTGCATTTAGTTTTTCTATAATGAAGGAAAAATAAAGCAGCTTAAAAGATCAGAGCTTTTTTATGTTTTAATTGGTTTTAATTTATTAGAGTTGCTTAACTCTTTGATACACGCCACCTTACTTCACTATTTGGACATGCTACTTGGATTGTTCAAATTGGACTAAAACCTTCTAAATTCTATTATTTATTTTTGTAATTTAAATTATTAATTTTGAGTTAGTAATTGGAAGATCTATTTATTTTACGTTGGTCTCTTCGAATTTAAAAAAATAAAATAAAATCATTCAAATTAGATGTGGATAGCTTGAAAAAGGTTATTAGTACTCATTTATTTAGGCATGCAGGGAATCCAAACATCTTGAATCACCGTTTTAACACCTATTTTGGAGGATTGCCAATTCATACGATATTGTATTGAATTTGATGTAAACAAGGTCTCTGAAGTTTAGGAAAACTGAAATTAAGGATGTTGTAATCGGTTCAGTCACAAGATGTTATCATTATTGCTTGAACAATAACAGACCAAAGCTCTGTTTGGATAGCACCCCAAACCATGGTTTGGGGACCCAAACCATGGTTTGGGGAAAATGCTACCCAAACAGCCTCTCCAAAAACCAAAACCATGGTTTTGGGTCAAAACCATGGTTTTGACTCCAAAACCATGGTTTTGGAAAAAGCAAATTTTTTTTGCTTTTGGAGAAAAAAGAGAGAGTGTGTGGGCCTATATGATATGTATCTTGTTATTTTTTTTATAAACATATTTTTTTTATAAATATATTTAATCTTATATTTTATAAATATATATAGACATTAATTATTTATTAATTATATTATCTTATGTATTATTAATTATGTTGGTAAAAAACATATTATTAACAATTTTACTTCTTCAAATTAAAATATATCATAAAATCTATTTTTTCTGTAATTATCATATTAACTTATGTCTTTTTTTTAGTAATTTGTATATATAAAAAGTGCTTCTGATAACAACTATCCAAACACTCTCACTTCTCAGAATCACTTTTTTACAAAATCTATTCTTCACAGAATCTATTTTTTCCAGAATCTATTCTCCAGAATCACTTTTCCAAACCACGGTTTGGTTTCATCCAAACACACTCCAAAGCGGACACCAAAATTTTCCAACGCTAGGACAGCTTCAATACCAGGCGAATGGGTAGGTTTGAGCAATTCCATCTATGTGACACTCTGCAATCCCTAGTTATTCTAAATCTCTTGTACCAAACATTACAAAATAAACAATACTAGTGCCAGTCCTAGTGGGGTATGCATGAAGGAGCTAATTGCTTCTTCTTTTTTTGTTTTTTGTTTTCCTATACAAAAGTATTCTTTTATTAGAAGTAATTTTGTTTAATATATCATTGAGTACTAAATTTGGCTCCTCTTTTCTGATAAAGATTTGAACCTTAGTTCGTTATGTTGTGAGGGATTATCTCCTTTCATTGAACCTTATTTTCATTGGTGTTAGATGCTTCTTTTAAATTTTATACTTGTTTTTTTTCTTGGTGTCGTTAGGTTATCCTGAATGTGAACCTATGACCTTGCTCATGAAGAAAGCTATCACACCTACAAACCAACCAATTGGGAGAGAATTAATATATTCCTATTGGGGTTGATTCATCCTTCACAAATGTAACATGTAACTTTACGGTGTATTGTGCTCTCCTAGTGTGCTAGGTTCCTCCCATATTTTTTGCCATGGCAAGTCTCTATGAAATAGTTTGAATAAGGGGATAAAAGGTGCTATGAGATCCTCCTGGTTCAATCCTAGACACCTTAAAATGTTTTTCAGACATACTCCCATTTTGAGTCAAGATATTGATAAATAGACATGTCAAATTGCACTGATCTTGGGGGGGGGGTTCGTGATTGAGAGGATTGAAGACTAAGAAGTGAGTTATTGACCTAATTTCCCACCATTCCTTATGAAAAGGAAAAGAATTTCATAACTCCCCTAACAACTATAATTCACAACTGCCTTTCAAAAGTTTACCAATTATTTGCAAATAAAGATTAACAATTTTCCCATCAAAATTAACAACCTCCTTTGACGTAATTGACAATCAATTCTAATAAGGTAATTGTCAACTAAATAACTCTTCTAACAATTATCTGGTAAGAATTGACAATCTCAATACAACAAATTCATAATTACATTTACATTATGGCAAAACCAACAACCAAGTTTAATACTACTATCTCTTATTCTAAATATAAAATCTAGTTTATAACGCAAATTGTACTATAAATTGAATCTCATATTTAGGTTAGAGATAATATTATCTTTTATGTTGGCAACTCCATCAACAAATATCTAGCAAGCCAAGAATTGAAAACTTTAATATATCAGATTAAAAAAATTACTTTTTATAAGACAATAATATAGATTTATCATATATATAATTACCATTATACTACCTCCAGTCTTAAATATAAGATCTTATTTGTAATGTATAAATAAGATCTTATAATTAAAATCAAAGATAGTATTATTAAGTGGATTCTGGCCATAAATTTTTCTTGCTACTTACCGTCTCGTTGGCTATAGCGACCCAGGCTTATAGTCTCTGGACTCTGGCCACCGGGGGGCTCTAGCGTTGACCAGATTTTTTTTTTTTAAGTTAATTGGCGGAGTGAACTAGAATAGAACAACTGGTTAAGAATTAGAAGGAGTGAACTATAATATCTAGAGTTGGAAAAATAGGTCGAGCCTGTCAGATAGACTCGTTTAAGCATAAATATTTGAGGCCTGAGCTTGAAATTTTTCCATTCAAATGGAAAACGGGTTTAAAAGGGCTGATCCTGAAGGGTTAACGCGTTAAACTGGCTGGTCCTGCAGGGCCAAAGGTCAGCCTATTTAGATGCTTTTATAATTTTCCTATGTAATTCTAATACTATTAATTTTTTTTACATTATCAATAATATTTTAAATATTTAGTTATTATTATCATTTTGAAATTAAATTTCATATAGTGGTTTGATTTATTTGTCTTCAGATAATAATTTGTCTAATTAAATTTTAAAAAATGAGTTAATTTGAGCTTTAATAATGATTTGATTTATATTATATGGTTGATATTTTTAAACTATATATATTTGATAAGAGAATATTTCTATACTTCTATTACTTGTGATTCTATAATTTGAATTAGAAATTTATGAGTTTCAACAATAATACTTCTCAAACTAAAGTAAAATAATAGTTTAGACGGTAAAATTTAAAAGTAAAATTTTATAAAAAAGAAAAACTTGATATTTTTGTTATGAAAAATAGTAATTGATTATAGTAATGATGAAATTTTTAAAAAAATTAATGATAGTATTTGTCTATTGCACATTTGCATTATTGATGAAACTTTTGGATATTGTTGTCTTGTTGATTGATGTTTTAGAAATTCTTAAATATTGATAGATATTTAGATATGATGATATTTTGTATTTGTGACTTAATTTTATTCAAATTTTATGTCTTTTATTAATAATTTTATTGGTTTTCTATTTTTTGATAAAAAATATGAGAAATATGAAAAATAATATTTTTTTTATTCAAAAGGGCCAAAAGCTTGTGGCCAGTCTTGAGCCCCTTAGTTTAAAGGCGGGGCCTAGTAAATTGGGATATGTTTAAAATTTTGGTCATGTAAAGTTGACTTTTTTAAACTCGTCGGTTTTGCAGAGTCGGCTTTGTATGACCGGGCCGGTTCGACCTTTAAGAATACCGCATAAAGGCCTTGAGATATGAGGAGTAGCATAATAACTTTGGTTCTAGACTTGTCAGCATAAAATTTATTAAATAATTTTACAATATTAATATTTAGTAATATTTAATTATAAATTCATATGATACAAAACATGATACATAATATGTAAAAAATTTTCATTTATTACTGTCTCAAGTTTTTTTTAAAAATAATTTTCAATTAATTACATTTTGTGCGAAGAAAGTTAGTCATTGTTTTTTCTTAAACTTTAATCTTTAGTCACACCTTTCATTTCTTACCAGAGAATCTCAAGACTCAAATTAGGATGATGGTGAGACCCTGCTTGCAAATTTTAAAGAAAAACAGGCCACAAGCAGGAGGCACCCTTCACATTATACGACAAGAATCTATGACTTTGATGCTGACAACTCTAACCCAGAAGATATCATGAACCTGTTTCCAAGTCATGAACCCATTTGGAAAAGCTTACGATAAGCATCATCATCAAGGAATCTGCTTTGTGTTATTTCAGAAAATAAGCAGGACTCGTCATGAATCTACTTTATGTCATTCGTCTACTTTAACTTTATCTTTATTAAAGTAGTTTATGTTATTGTAATCATTAAAGACATCTTTGCAAAGCTTATAATTATAAAAAGAGTTAATATAATTTTTAGTCTTTGAAATTTGAGTTTATTTTAATTTTGATCCCTCAAATTTCAAATACGTGGTTTTAATTCTTGAAATTTAACTTCTCTTAAAATGTTAGTCCCTGATAAAGCAAAGCTGTTAAAATTTGTTGAAATGTCATCAATGACGTTAGAAGTGGTGATGTGGACTCATTAAATGATATCTAACTTGATCTTGTATGAATAATAAAGTGTAGTACAGTGAATAGCTCCTGAAAATGAATAGTGAGAAAGAAAAAAAAAGATGCTAAAGAGATGACTTTTGGTAGCTTGTTCTTTTTTTTCCCCCTCTTCTGTTATTCATATAAGATCTAATTAAATACCATTTGGTGAGTTATATCACCATTATAACTCTGTTTATGATGTTTTTAATATATTTTAACACTATTTCACCTTCAAGGATTAATACGTTGAGACGAACTAAATTTCAGAAACTAAAATCATAATTCTAAAATTTTTTTTTGGCCAAAATCATAATTCTAAAATTTAAAAAGCTAAAATCAAAATAAGTCCGAATTTTAGGGTTTAAAAATGATAGTAACTCTTATAAAGATTAATACTTAAGAGAAAAGCGCGTCTTCTGTCGTGCCCGTGTTTCTGTTGTGCCCCTCTCTCGCGCAATCTTCTTCATCGGTTTTGGCCTGAGATTTCGAGGCAAGTAGAAGAGCGAAAAGGATGGTTCTTTCAGAGGATGAATTCAATCGGCTTTACAGAATCAGGAAGACTGTGATGCAGATGCTGAGGGATAGGGGCTATCTGGTTACAGACTATGAGATCAACATGACCAAGAGTGAGTTCAGGCATAAATACTCTGAGCACATGAAAAGGGAGGACCTCGTTATCAATAAAGCTAAGAAAGATAATAGCTCCGACCAGGTATTCCCTCATCTCGTTCTTCAACCTCTCCTTTTAGAGGATTTTCTTTTGCATAAATCATCGTTTCCTAGTCCTACTGGGGTTATGGCCAGTGTTAGACATTTCGTTTAAATTTTGTTTGGTGCTGCAGGAATAATAGTGAGTCTGCTTGTTGGTATTGCTAGGAATTCTTAATAGTATTGCTATCAATATAGACAGGAGATAGAGCTATTTAAATTGGTTGAAATGAGTTGGATTCTCTGATCCAGCGAACCTATTTGTACTTTTGTTCTGCTGCCAGATATAAAATACCCTTAATATAAGAGCTAGTTGGAGATTCCATTTGGTCCTAAGATCTCAATTCACTTTGTCCTCAATATTTATCCTCTTCATCCCAAGTAACCCTTATACTAATTGCATATGTTAAGACGTTTTTAAAAGGGCAACTTTAATGCACATGATTAACAAGATATTTTAGGAAAGACAATATTTATTTATTACAGCTAAACTAATTTCTTTAATTTTGATAAATTAGTCATCTAGTTCTTGTAAGATAATATATTCTCTAAGAATTAAGGAAACAATGGTTTCAGCAAATCTTATGTTCAAAAAGATAAGTTTAGCTGTCTTACATCATGATCATGAAAATTGGAGATTGAGCTTCACCAAACGTGTTTTTATCCCAGTACATGTGCTGAACTCTTAGACGATTTTGGATGACCCAACCTTCGTTGAAATGAATTCTGTCAAGTTAACGTGTTCTCTGACCCTATCAAGGCTTTCACGCTTATTCATAATGAACTTTCTTGGAACCACTCCCTCTGCAGCGTAATCAGAAAGATAAAGAGAACTTTTTAAGCGAAATTACACATTCACCTTTGATCATGTCTACAGGAAGGCTAATGGTTATGCATGCGAACACTACAGTCTTACATGATCCACCTTCAGGGTGTAGGAATCTTTTGAGAGTAAATGTGATTTAATTTTATTATCTCTTGCACGGTTTTTTGTGACCTTGTATTTATATGCCCATGAAGCTAGCTCACTATCAAAAAGATAACAAACCGGACCTTGTATGTTGAATAATTCAGTTCTAGGTTCATAATTCACATCATGCAGGCTGTAATTAGCATAATAGTTAGATGGGATAGCATATGGAAAATGTCTATTTCTCCACTTTTTGGGATTCATCTTTTCATTTGTTTCATTTGTACCAGATCTATGTTTTCTTTCCTGAAGAAGCAAAGGTTGGAGTTAAGACAATGAAGACATACACTAACCGAATGAAGTCAGAAAATGTTTCCAGAGCAATCTTGGTTGTTCAACAGAATTTGACTCCCTTTGCTCGGAGTTGTATTGCTGAAATATCCTCGAAATTTCACTTGGAGGTTTTTCAGGTGATGTGGTTTAGTGTTCTTGTGAGGAAAATACTTGGGTGATGGCAAGTTTCAAATTTGTTTCATGCGTTCTCTCTTTTACATTGCCTTCCAAACTGTTGACTTCATTTCTGGAACTTGTGCTTGAGCCCAAACAGAAAGTTAACATGGAATCAGAGTCTAACTACAAGATTTGAGACTTCCATTAAAAAAATAAGAAATAAAAAGAAAAGATGGACCTGCGATCTTTGAAGTTCAAGAGTACAAGCTCAGGCATACAAAAGTTGAATGTTGTGACTTGATGCTTTTGAGACTCAGAGAACACAATCCCAAGCAAAGAGAAAAATGACCTAAACAAAAGAGGAGGGGGTGTTGAAAATTAGAAGTCCCACATTTAAAGTAGTAAGAAAAATGATGGGTATCTCAGTTTGTGGCAATCCTTACCCATAGCTTAAATACCCTTCATGTTTCTTATCACTTTTAGATGTTGGATTTCTATTTTTGAACACAAACCACTGACTTGGCCTATATTTCAAATAATATTGAAGTAACAAATTTTCAGTTTATCTTGTATTATATGAACCTGCGTTCTTTTCTTATAATTTATTTTTATATGTTTGCAGTCTTAATTTATTTTAACGGTAGCTCTATTGATGCAGGAGGCAGAACTGCTGGTCAACATAAAAGAGCATGTTCTTGTTCCGGAACATCAGGTGCTAACTGACACAGAGAAGAAAACCTTGCTTGCGAGATATACTGTGAAAGAAACCCAGGTCAGTAGGTTAAAACTTGGTTCTAATGCACTTATTTTTATGGGCGTCCCTTGCCTTCACATTATATGTTGGGGTATGTTGTTTAGGGCTTCCTTTTAGAGTAAGGCGTATGGAAGTTTTAAGGGATTGTTGTTTTCAGTTATGCAGAAAGATTAGAAAGCATTGCTATCTACTTGAGCTTCTGTGACTCTTTTTCATTAGCTTTCCTTTTATGTTGATTCCTTTCCTTCAGAGGATGACTTATCCAACTAGCTGTCTGTTACTTGCCTTCTTTTCTAGTAATGTTTCTTCTTTTACTCATGAAATTTGCATGCTTATTCTATCGCTATGATTGAATCCCACAATTAGTAAAGCTGAGAAAATGTTTTACAGGAAATGGCAAAATCATTACAATCTTTTTTGTGTGTGGTGAAAGCTTGATAAAAAGGGCCTTTACCCTAATTAAATGATACTGTTCAACTGTGTTATTGATGCAATCTTGAATATGTGACATCATATCTGATTTCTTCTTCCCCTGTTTGTGTTACTTCTCCAGGATGTTTTTGTGTAGTGCACATCATATACAGTTTTGTCACACTAACTATGCTAACAGTCTAACTACATTTAGTCACTATAACTAATATGCATCATCCTACGCTCCCCCTTAAGCTGGGAGTAAATATACCTACAATTCCCAATGTACGTGTTTTAGCTTCACTAGTCCCTTCTGACATTTTTCTCACGCAAATGACTTCACTAGTTTTTTTTATTTTTTTTATTTTGTTTGTTTGTTTGTAAAGTCAAGAATTTTGTCTTGCCCAAGGGGGGGAAAAAAAAAAAAGGACTTCACTAGCCTCCATCTCGTGGGCCATCCAATTTTTCAAAACTCGTTCTGTTCCCAGCTTAATAACTGTTTCTGTCTCAAAAGCTGGTACATATCAGCCCAAATTGGCCCAACTTTTAGAACGGTTTTTAAGCAGAAATCTAGCCGTTTGGAACTCCAGCCTGGGTCTGAAATCATTGCTATTTAGGAATACTCCCGAATTGGCTCAAGTTCTGAACCGTGAAACTGATGTCTGGCCATATCATGGTGCAATATTCAAGTTTCCCAACCAACTTTTGATGCCTCCCTGGGTCACTCACTAAACTCATCACCAGATACTGCAGAAATCAACTACCCAGGTTTATTGTACACACCCCCACATTTGAGCGCGCATATCCACAAGCACACGCACACTCAGACAAGCACTCACACGCACATGCACTCACACACACACAGACTCACGCCCGCCCTCGCAATGGTCATAAATTTGTTGTGGATGATGGTGGCTTTGGCAATGGTCTCTGGCAGCTGGTTGGTGGCGAAGTCTAGTGCTGGCGATCATGGCCTCATGGGGAAAGGGAGGAATTTCCTTTTAAGGATATTTTGATAAATATGCATTAAAATTGTTCACATCTAGAGGACATGAGATTTTTAGAAGTCAAGGATATTTTGTTTGGAACGTAAGAATGATTTTCCCCAATATTGTTGGGGAAAATCATTCTAAAGGTTGAGTTATTACTATTACTCCTTCATGTAAATCTCCTTTAAGAAATGTGTAAGAAACATCTGTTTGATACAATTGCCATTTGTGGATTGCTGTCGTAGTACGCGCTGTTACCATTTTGATTGCAGGAGAAAAATGCTGATGATGTTGTCTCTTTCCTTTGTGACAGCTTCCCAGAATCCAGGTGACAGATCCAATTGCAAGATACTACGGACTGAAGCGTGGACAGGTTGTGAAGATAATCCGACCAAGTGAAACTGCTGGACGTTATGTTACCTACCGATATGTTGTGTAACTGTTCACTCTTTCTAGTTTATGTCCTGAGCTGTGCGCTTCATTATAGACTGCGACACAGAGCACGCACCAAAGAAAAGCCAGCTTTTGTACCAATCTGTTTTTCTTGGGGGACCCGAATAGTTGTTAATTGCGACTGTGCTTCCATCGAAAAAGAAAGGAGAAAAAATCGTTTCTTTTCTTTGCCATCACAAAAAACATACTATCATTAAAGATATCCGAAGTGCAGACGTACAAACATAAACCAAATAACAGAGTTTGAAATGAAACAAAACAAGAAACAACAAAAACAAAACACTTAAACAAAATATCATCCAGTATCAATTGAAATTCCGGCACAATCTTGCTTAAGAAGACGCTGCAATTGTGAGTGAGGCCTCCACACCCGTTCTGGGTCACATGAACCTCATAAAACTTTTTGTTTTAGCAAAAACCTTTTGATAGGTTAATGCCTCTCATCGGATGGTACATCCAAGGCAAGCCAGGGAAGAAATTCTGCCATCATTCTAACTGGTAAGCTGCAAAGAAATTGCCACACCAATGAGGTTGATGCCTGCTCTTTAAATGAAAATTTCTAAGTAACCAAGGGAAAGATCTGCCCAGACACGTTAAAGTTTTGGCAGTATAAGGTAATGAGAGAAAAGAAACAAATTCTAAGCATATGGAGCCACACTGGCACGGGCGGGTATATGCTTGAAATATACACGCATATTTTTTCTAATTTTTTCATATTGACTGAGTTTATGAAGTTATTTTTAAAAAATAAAAGTTATGTAATAAGTTATCTTCAGGATTAAATTGACATTGAACTTTAATTCCTTTTATTTTTAAAGTTCTAAATTTCTAATAAATTGATTTATTAATTTAATGTTATGTAAAATTTAAAAATAAAAGAGTTCCTCATTTGAAGGGAGGCAGACTACTCCAAAATTTCACATTTAATTTAAGTAAAAATATAAAAATGAATGAATAATGGGAAAATCCCAAAAAAGGTCCTTGGAATATGGGAAATGTCAGATTGGGCTCTTAAATTTCGAAAATGACAGAATGGGTCATTGACCCAATCTGTCATTTGTGAAATTCAGGCGAATTGACAATTTTGCCCTTATTTATTCATTCACTACAATGATTCAAGGAATCACTATAAGAGTTTAGGTGTTACCTAGATTCGTATAGCGAATAACTATTCACTTTTTCATAGTCAGGTGTCTTGTTATTAACTACAACTAATGTTGTAATCACTAGAACAATGTAAGTATTACCTAGATTTGTGTAAAGAATAACTACTCATTTTTTCATAGTCAGGTATCTTATTATTGTCAGGTACCTTATTATTAACTACAACGAATCTTATAATCACTAGAACAGTATAAGCGTTACCTAGATTTGTTTAGAGAATAACTACTCACTTTTGCTCAGGGGTAAAAATGTCAATTCACCTGAATTTCACAAATGACAGATTGGGTCAATGACCAATTCTGTCATTTTCGAAATTTAAGGGCCCAATCTGGGATTTGGTATATTCTAAGGGCTTTTTCTGGGATTTTCCCATGAATAATCTGCAATTTTTCAATTTCGCGTGCTGCGGCATCGGGAAAATCAGGGCAGGAAGCAGGAAAACGCAGTAATTGTGGGGGGAAAAGGGAAAATCTCCAGTTTGTGTGTGAACGCAACCGCGAAAACCTCGGCCTGAAAGCATGAAGCTCAAGCAGTTGGAAAGTCTCCTTGGCGATCTTCAGCAGTTCTCTCAACCCAAGGTTCTCTCTCTTAAAACGACCTTTGATAGTAGTCTCTGTGTCTCTTTATCACTGTGAATCACTTCTTCTTCTTCTTTTTTTTTTTTATGTTTTATTTGGTCGCAGATTGAACTCGAACAGTATCCAACTGGACCCCATATTGCTTCTCGAATGCTCTACACTGTATTGCTCTCTTTCTCTCATCACTTTATCCAGTTTCTGCAAAATATTGTTGCATGTTTCTTCAAACTTCACCTTTGGATATTCTATTTTTCTTCTGCCGAAGATGTAAACAGCTATGGGCTCGAAGATTACATTTCTATTATTTCCTTGCAAATGCAATGATTGATGTCATCGGCAAGTTTCATTCTAGAGTGAATCCAATAGTGTGCAATTTGTTTGGTAACAATTTTTTTTCCAGCCACTGTAATTCCACATACTTAAAGTTCTGTTTCTGTTGTGATTACGTAAATTAGGCTGAGAATTCTTTTGGAGATGTGAGCAACAAAGTAGTGGCTGACTTTGGATGTGGTTGTGGTACTTTAGGTGTTGCAGCTGCTTTATTGAGTGCCGAGTAAGTTGCCTTCTTTCCCTTCTTATACTTTTGTACAGTCTGTTCCTAAATCCCATTTAATCTGTAAGTTTTAATATTTGAGCTGATATTGAAATGACATTAAGTATGCTGAAGTTTCAAACTACTACGACTTGGCTGCATTTTGCATTTTCATAGTCCATGGTTACATAGGACCCATGGGAAAAATGAATTGGGATTTTTCGTTGCTGGGTCAGTGCTACATAGCACATAACGGCTTGCTTACTTAGGGACCCTCCATTCTAACTCAAAACTTCAATTCCAATTTTAAGCAACAAAGCAAATGTTTTGTCTAAATTAAGTGTGGTTTTATGTATATAATATTTATGTATGTGTCTATTTATGTATGAATGTATATCTTATATTCTCTTAATTTGTCTTAGCATTGGTCAGACATGTTTTTGGCATTGACATTGATCCAGAATCTCTTGAGATAGCATCGTTAAATGCTGAGGAGCTTGAGGTATTTTCTTCCTACTGCTCATTATAGTAGATGATTATATTTTTTCAGATGATTGAGTCTCTTGTTGCATTGAAATAAAAGTAACATTTTTGTATGCTTTAAATGTATGCATAGTGATGTATCTCGAATTTCAAAGGTTCACTTTAATTTATGTACATTGCTAAAGAAGGTAAAAAGTGAGAATTAGTGTGCTCTAAATTGAATAATGAATGGCTAGATTATTATGTTGAAAATGGCCTACTGGTAGTTGATGCATCTTTCCTTTGTTGTTCAATTAAACTTGCAGCTGTATTTGGACTTTATTCAGTCTAGTGTCATGGATTTGGAATGGAGAGGTAGCTTTCCTTATTATCTTTGTCCTACTTTGGTGCCTTTCTCTGCCTTTGCTTATGTAAGTTCTGTGTCTATTCTTGAAGTTTTCTTCTATAACAGGTTCATCTAGTTGTGTTGGTATTTTATATTTTTCTCCAGGTCAAATTGTTGATACAGTTGTGATGAATCCTCCTTTTGGAACTAGGAAGAAGGGTGTAGACATGGATTTTCTCCATGTTGCTTTGAAGGTAGGCAACCATGGTGGTCATAGAACTTTTAACATGTGATTGATGAGATGTCTGATATACATGTATTTGTCAGGTTGCTTCTCAAGCTGTGTATTCCTTGCATAAGACTTCAACAAGAGATGTAAGTCATCTGTGTCTTACATTCTAGTTGCCTGAATGAGCAATGAAGCTCTCACAAGCCCAATTGGGTTGTCCTTAGTATAATACATGCACACTTGTACCATAAATGTTGCAACTTCAATTTTGCACGAGTCACTTCAAATTTTCTTAAAGTCATGCTATTTGTGTGGATGTTGAAGCATCTTGATTTATTCACTTATTATCTCATGCATAAATTTATGTGTTTGTTTATGTCACACTTTACATATCTTATTATTTCATGAGGAGTTCAGTATTATTTAAATGACTGCTTGAATTAAGATCTTTTCATAGGAGTGACATTTGTCTTTGCAGCTTTTTCTATATACTTCCATACCCTATTTCTGCTCATTTTTACTTTGTTTATGCGATGTGTTTTCATCTTATTCTAGCATGTCAAACGAGTAGCCGTGAGGGATTTCAATGCTGCAAGTGCCGAAGTTTTATGTGAGGTGAGTGAATCGTTTTATTTGTTTGTTTTTGTGTTGTAGAAGCCTTATGAAAAGTAAGCTTTTACCCATTTTATTAATCTCTTTTTAGTTAAATATGGAAGTTCTTTATTTCGTTTTTTGAAATTAAGTCGAGCTCTTTTGTGCTTATTACTTATTGGTTATGAGTCCTGAGTCAACTATAACTTGTAGTCATTAATCCCACAGTAAAAATACTAGTTCTATCTTAACTTTGTGCAAGTGGGCCTAAATCTGTCACATTAGACATGCCATCTCACAATTCAGATGTTGTAGATATGGATAGCTTCTTAACATAATTTGGTAAATCCATACCAAGAGGTCAAAGATCATCCATCATACTGCACACTTGAAATCATGTTTTGAATACCTGTTTCTATAGTCCTTGGACGACTGCATTCTTTGTTATTATGTGAATTTCTGCATATCGATGCCTGATAAGTATTTTAGGCATGTTGTGTTTTTATCTCTTGATTTGTTGATCCATATGTTATATAAAAAATAGGTAGGTCAGAAGGTAGGCTAGCCAACCCACATTATCAGCACGTAACCTGTAGGTTGACTTGTTTTAGCTTTTTTATTTGGAAGCATCCGTAAGGTTTTTAACTTTGAAATGGTACTTTGTTTTCTTAATTTAACAGCTTCGTTATGATGTACCAAAACTATACAAATTTCACAAGAAGAAGGAGGTGGATATCGCTGTGGACCTTTGGCGTTTTGTACCAGCAAGTCACCAAAGCAGTGTTATATAAAGAGGCCCTTTGGATCCAAATTTGTGGGGGAGATTGTTACATGGTTAATTTATCCTGCACCATCAGTAGATTGTTACAAGTGGCTCTGCCAAAAGCTAGGCTACACGTGTGTTTTTTTTTTAGTCCAAGTCTCCAAGCAAGCAAAACCTGTCTTGTACGTAGCTTTCTTAAAGTTGGCTTGATTGGGTCGGATAAACTGATTGATGCTATTTCATAGTGATGGATATTTTTATGAACCATTTGAATCGATTGTCAATCTGATCACATTCAGATGTGGTATATATTGCATACTGAAACTTTCTTCAAAACGTGATGAGGATGATTCTTAGGGAAAGAATGAGCTTAGCGTAGGAGAATCATTTTGCTGTTTGAGAACTCTGTTCATTAAGGAAAGGTTCACCTGAATTGTTGTCCTTAAAATTGCCTCTGAATTTCTACTTATCTTGGTCTTTTTTCAACTCTCTTTTTCTTCCTCCACCAACTCCCCCCCCCCGGGGTTATAATATTACAAATAATGAAAGCCTGGCGGATGTAAGGGATCTCCTTATCTTATTTAGTGTTGCCTATTTTTTCCGCCTGTAATGGCCATTAATTTTCTCAAGTTGGATTATGAAAAAAAAATGATTTTCTGATATTTATTATAAAATCATTTGGATCTCATGGATTGCAATTATTATTGAACTAAAGTAAAGCGGGAAACATGGATTAGGAGGAAAATGGGTTAGACCTTGTGGGTTATGCATAGCAGTTTTCTTCCTCCTTGGTCACTGGAATATAGCATCGGCATAACAGTCCCCCGATATTTGAATCCCCAACCCTCAGTCCAATTGCAGTTTTTGTTTACAATTCTTCAATCATAACCTTAATAACATATACTTTTCGGAGATGATTATATAATTTTCTTATTAAAAGAAAAATCACATTTATTTACGAAAAACATAAAATTTCCCGTAATATTGTACTTTGTCATCCCTTTCCTGCAATTTTGCGCTTTAGTCGTTAGCTTCGATAATTGGTTTTAAAATGATGTTATTAATTCAAGAAATATCGATGCAAGTAATTAATTATGTCTGAAAAAGATATTAAATACTTTGTCATCCCTTTCCTGCAATTCTGCGCTTTAGTCGTTAGCTTCGCTAATTGGTTTTAAAATGATGTTATTAATTCAAGAAATATCGATGCAAGTAATTAATTATGTCTGAAAAAGATATTAAATACTTTGTCATCCCTTTCCTGCAATTCTGCGCTTTAGTCGTTAGCTTCGATAATTGGTTTTAAAATGATGTTATTAATTCAAGAAATATCGATGCAAGTAATTAATTATGTCTGAAAAAGATATTAAATATTTTGTTTTTACATAATTATAACTAAGATTGCAAACAAATTTCATGCAGCATATCATCAACAATCTATACACTAAACTTACCAAAATATAGCATAATATCGTACATAAGTTTTATAGCATATCATCAAAATAATTCAAGTACTTTGTTTTGACACTGCAACAGCATTTTTGGGTGCCAAATTCCATGATGGAACAAGAATCCTTTTCGGCGTGCTTTCCCTCATGCGCCTCTAATAGCATATTTCCCTTTCTTTCAACTTTTTTCGAAATTACTGCCATAATACAATAATATAGATCGGTAACTTCAGGAAAACATTTCACTGAAGACCCTTCTTGATCCTTCATTACAAAGCCAGCTTCATTTCTCTCAGCAGTGTTCAAAGAACGTCTTTCTTTTCCACTTGTTTTAGCTCGTGTTAAACTTCTGTCGCATCAATTTGACATCTTTGGTCGCAAGAATAATTTTGTAAATAAATTTAAGCTAGAGACAAACTTTTTATGCTTGACAGAATCTGGTGGTCTAAGCTATCAATCTCCATAGAAAAACGAAACAAACTCCAACCCTCGACAAAATTTAACAAAATCGAATTGCCTGAAGCAAACAAACAGGAAGCCTAAGACATCCTCTGTGCCGCTTCCTTAGCAAGGAGCCTTTCCTTGGCCTTGGTCCTGGCTTGGGATTTAGATCCCATGATCCCACCACCCCACTTCTTTCTGTACTCATCATACTTGTCATTGAAGTTAGCCTGTGCAAAAGGAATACGAAAAATAAAAAGAAAGCCCAAAAAGAAGCAACAAAGAAAGAAAAACCAAAAATCAACCCACAAATTACCTTGATCGCCTCAAGAATCTTGGAGAATTCTAATTTGTCCTCATTCTTGACTGTTGTCAAGCACAGAACTGATGCAGTTTTCTTGTGGACAATCTATCAAAGGCAGAAAGAATTGAATTAGATGCAATTACAAAAATTCTATTCAATCAATTGAGGAAATGCCTAGATAAAACTATTGCAAGTATTACCGATCCCAAGCGTGCCTTGCCCTTGACAATGCAGTAGGGAATTTCCATCTTTCTGCACAATGCCGGCAACCAGACAACCAGTTCAATTGGATCTACATCATGAGCAATCACAACCAGCTGTGCCTTATTCTGCCAGGAAAAAAAATAAGAAAACGTTAATCAAATGCTGGGGATGAAAAGGACATTCTCATCATCTCAGGCATCGACAGAAGGAAGCAGACCTGCTCGATAAGGTAAGTGACATGATTGAGACCATACTTCACAACAATAGGCTTCTTAGCTTCAGTAGATTTTCCTTCTGCCTCTGCCTGAGCCCTCTTCAAGAGTCTCTCTTTCTTTTCAGCTTTATCCTCAGGCCTGTACTTAAGGAGCATCTTGAACAGGCTGGTTGCTGCAAATGACATTCACAGAATCAGTACAGCCTTTTGCACGAGTCGATTGCTATAGTAACATGAACAAATCTCTCAAAGCTCCAACACCAAAAACTAAATAAAGACAAATAAAAGAATTTAAACGACTAATAATTAAGCGGACACTCAATAATTCAAGAATATGCTAGAACAGGGCAATAGGCACACTGCAATTATTGAACACCATCAAACGTCCTCACTACCTAAAATGCCACATCAATGACACATGCAAGCGCCCGAAACATCGACGATAATCCACAGGCACTGAATTCTGGAAAATATGCAGTACAGTTCAAATATGCGTCCACATCAATCATTCAATTATTTTTTACAAAATTTTGATGAAATTAAGTTGGATATCATAAGTTTCCGAAGCATTAAAAAAGCCAAGAAAAACACTTGAGTTAATATTCACGAACCCTAGGGTTCAATTAGCTTTCGTACCAAGGTTCTTATCTAGTGTTTTGGTGAACTGATTCAAAGCTGGAGGGACCTTCAACCTCTGCTTGAGAATCCTCTTCTTCCTCTGAATTTGAACAGTCTTGGGCCACTTGACGAATCGGGTCAGGTCTCTCTTAGGAGGCAATGCACCTCCAATCCCAAACTGCTTCGGACGCTTCTCAAAGAGCGGGTTTACCACCTTGTCCTAAAATCAAACAAAGAAAATCGAAGCCAAATCATATCATGATTTTTTAAAAAGAAAAAATAAACGAAACCGATATTTTTAATTGAAGTTATGCCAATCAGAGAAACACACCTGCTTCTTCTTAGCCGCAACCGGAGCTTTTACACCTCTTTTTGGAGCCTATTAAACGGACAAAAAAAATATCCCCGATTTATCAACCAGTTAAATTGACAAGGGCTCTTCCAAGACATAACTCAAGATCAGAGACAAGAACCCAGAATTGTAATATGTAATCATAGGAATAACTCTTCCTGCCATTTCAATACTCAAATTCTATGAACCGAAATTTTTGTTTTGGCATGAAGAATCAAGTGATACTAAAAGGTAAGATCATAATCTCGATGAAACATGAATACCGAGTTCAGATAAACAAGCTTAGAGAAATAAGGCATTACTCACCATTGCTGCTGATCTCCCAGACTCCCAGCTGCTGCCGACTTGAAACTTTTCGGGGAATGGAAAAACCCTAACCTATATCAGAACTGAGGCAAGGGCCTCGAGTATTTCAATAATGAAAACTACGTCGTTTTGTTGGAGTTAATCTTGACCGTTCATTTAACACTCAATCTCGTCCGTTCATTGTTTCTAATTCAGTGAGGATAATTCCTCCCTATTTCTTTGTGCATATTTCATCCCAACGTACACTTAAATTTGCAGAAGGCATCTGCTGATCTTCATGAAACTATACAATATGTTTTTTGGAAATCATGTGGAACAAGAGAGAAGCTTTAATATGATATCTTTTCATCATCATCAATCGGTCATTTGGCTATAATTTTTCTAATACTGTGTCCGGTCCTGATTATAAGACATTTTTTGTAGTATGCAAACGAGGTCTTATAATTAGGACCGGAAGTAGTGTTTTTCCTACTCTAACCCCCTTTGTTTTTTCGTCTCATTATTTCTAATTATATAAGTTCATATTATGAAGGGATTATGTAAGGTTATCCTCTTCTAATACTAACTCTGGTCCTTAATATAAGAACTTATTTGACTTTTATTTTAATCCTAAATATAAGACCTCAATCCATTTTTGTCTCGCATATTTATCCATTTTTATCCAAGGTAATTCTTGTAATAATGGTAGTTCTAGCCAATATACTTGATTAGCAAGAATATTTTATGAAAAATAACACATGTTTATTACAAATAACTAACTTAACTAGTTTCTTTAATCTACTCAAATCAGTCAACTAGCTCTTATATTAAGGACCAGAGGCAGTATCATTTTGACTTTTATTAGAAAAAATTTATACTTGTGCCTAATAATTTCAAAGTAGACATTTTTTTATACGAAAAAGTTTAGGTGTTTTGGGTCCCGTGACTCACCAAGACTAGAGCATGCCTCTAGGCTCAGAAAGTGTTTACAGAAGTATTTATAGATTATCCACCAACAAGGTCCTCACATCGACAATGGAATTCAAACTTTCAAAGTAGACATATTTATTCATTTTGTTTTAAAAAAATTTGGGATGGGCTCCCTCTCACAACCCATTCGCCTAAATTTTCATGGGAAAATTACACACAGGTTTCAAGAAATAGGATTTATTCATTAAGGTCCCAGAAAAAGTCAAAATTAATAGCAGGTTCTAAGAGACATTAGAGTATTGTATTGTAATTGTAAATGGCATCAATATCCCTTCTAATCTAAGGTTCCCACTTCACAGTTTTTTTTGCTAATACGATTGACAACCTCAACAGCGAGTATTAATAATCTAATGAGAAGCTGTTGACAACCTATGTAGGATCTGCTAACAATTGACTTTATAGAATAACATAATCTCCACATAAGAGTAAATTATAACCAAATAATATAATATAACAACGTTAACACTAAAATGGGAAGCTGTTGAAAGGCATGAACAACTTTAACTAAACTTAATAGAATTATAGCAATATTTTACTACAGAGATCCATTGATAACCTCAACAGTGAGTATTAACAACTTAATGGGATGCTGTTGACAACCTAGGTAGTGTCACTGACAACTAACTTTATAGGATAACATAACCTCCATGTAACATCAAATTATAACCAAATAGCATAATATAACAACTTTAATGCAAAAATGGGAAGTAGTTTGAAGACATTAACTTTAACTAAATCCAATAGGATTATAGAAGAATTTTATTACAGAGATGTATTGACAACCTCAATAATGAGTATTAACAACTCAAAGGGAGCTGTTAATAACCTAGGCGGTGTTCGTTGATAACTGACTTTATAGGATAACATAACCTCTACATAAGATCAAATTATAACCAAATAGTATAACATAACAACTTTAAAACTGAAATCATTTTTATAAAAACTTCATAGTAATACTGTACTTATATAGTATTTGCTGAAGGGTCACCGCATTGGGAAAAATTTGTCCTTCTCCAATACATTGGAGGTGTTGTGAGAACAAAAATGATAAAGAAAGGCACAACACATGTAGAATTTGAAGCAATGATAGTATCAATGGTAGAAAAAGAAAGTAATTGGATAGTTATGAAATTCACAGTAAGCTTTGATGAATATACATTTGTAGACCTTGTAGGTGATGAAGGAATAGAATATTTAATTAACTTCAATAGAAAAAGTAGTCATGCATATACAGAAAATAGAGATGCAAATTCACAACCAATAAGGGATGGTTCAATAGAAGAACAACATGTGTAAGTGGAATTTACTTATTTTGAATTTGACGTAATATTGTTTGTTGTCAATTGTTTTGTTTAAGTAGTCATTGCAGTGGTCGAAGGTTGTCATTGATGACCCTATGACTTGTTTGTTATGCAGGATGAAAGACTTATTCAGAGGTTCAGATATATCGTCTATGTTTCCACCCAATGTGTTGAGTAAAGACCCACTATCATTGCCATGTGATTCGCAAATTATGCCAACACTGATTCCCGAAATGAATTCAACAAAATAGAAGGATTTGGTTATTGGAGAAGGACAAAATTTCCCAATGCAATGGTTTCTTTATGTTTTTTTTGTGACTACATGTGATAGTATTGTTTTGTAAATGTCATTATACACACCTCAAGTTAAAGGGTCATTAGGTACACATGCAACTCGTATGCTTTTTGAATAGGTTGTAAATTTGGTATAGTTACATTGTAGGTATATATATATATATATATATATGAAATGGTAAATGACATCCGGAAGTAATCTAATGTAATGTCATATTTCTATTTTGTTGTATTTGTCAATAGGTTGTCATGGACTAGTTATCACACGCTGTGGATGTTGTCAATGGCTGTAGAATTAAGTTATTGATATAAAGTGACAATTTCATATACTTCCAGTCTTCCATGATTTCTTCACACATGATTTTAGTGTTAAAATTGTTATATGATATTATTTGGTTATAATTTGATGTTATGTAGAGGTTATATTATTCCACAGAGTTAGTTGTCAATAGCTCCCCCTTAGGTTGTTAACACTTGCCATTGAGGTTGTCAATCGTATTAGCAACATACACGATAGGGAGAAAGGCAAGACAGCAATGTACAGTTTGCGACAGGGAGAGATGCTAAGAGGCCTACTGCAACAGGGAGAGACAACAGATGGTGGACTGATTGCAAGAGGGAGAGGCAATGCAATAGGGGAGCAATTGTACCATGGAGAGTGACCACAAAGGGAGAGAAGACACCAGGAAGTAATTACGAAATGAGAGACGGCAACTACGAGAGGCACTGTGTGGTTGATTCCTTCACTTCAGATGCCGACGCGAGAGGCAGTGAGCAATTCAAACATTGAGGCAAGAGGGAGAAAGTGTTTGAACTTTGAATTGGGAACCTGGGATTAGGAGGGATAGGGATGTCATTTTACAATTATAATATAATACTCTAAGGTCTATTAGGACCTGCTATTAATTTTAACATTTTTTGGGACCTTAGGTGAATAAATTTTGCTCCTTGGGACCTGTATGTAATTTTCCCAATTTTAAATTCCACAGTTGCCCCTCTCCTTGCACGCAAAGCTCTCCCCCGGCTAATTCCGTCATTCGCGTGCCTGGTCCTCTCGCCATCACTGTCCTTTTCTGATTTTGTCGTTGTGTTCTGTTTTCACCTCCAAATCACTAGCTCTGCTCCTCCTCTAGTCGACACCATCACCTCTTATCGTCTTCTCCTTCTCGAAGAATGGCCCTGTCTTTACTTTGTTGAATTCATCTTCAGCGACTCTCATCCTCTTCTTGTTCTCGGGCAAGTTCTATTTCAGGTTTGTGCTCTCTCTTCCATGATCAACATGTTGGTTTTTGCTTTTATATGTCTTGTTATACTTATTCAAGTATATAGCTTCTGATATTAGACACATTTGGGTTGCTTGTGTTTTGCTTATAGCGATGATCTGTACAGCAATATACTGCCTTAAAACTATGGGAATTATATTTTGGTTGAGTATAAACTATCACAATTCTTTGCAACTTTATTTGTTGAAGCAATATCTTGAAAGGTTGAATTAGGAATGTGTAGGGTTCTAGTCCCTTGGACTCCTTTCCTGTTCCTTTTTAAAGAATATGTGCAACTGACAAATTCACTAGCTCTCCTTCTTATAGCTTAATGGTGGTGATTAAGGTGAATTAAAGGGAGAAAAACACAGTGCTATTGTATCCAAGGTCAGAGTAGATTGATTAAGGTGAATTAAAGGGAGAAAAACACAATGCTATTGTATCCAAGGTCAGGGCAGATTAATGGGATTGTTACAAATTGTAGCTATTGACCAATTTGATAAGGGCTCTTATTGTACATTGGCATGATTTCCTTAATTGATGGTTGATTCGGTGTATACCATGGTTTAGGATTTATTTTTTTTATTTATCCTTACCAATGAAGGGGTTATGATCTTTACTTTCTTTCATATTTAGTTAAATGGAGGTTTGAACCCAATCAAGGTTAGAATTGTCACTTTAAAGGCAAACAGCGACACAAATAACATAATTAAACTTAATAATACAAGTTAACCATGGTCATTGTGGTATTGTCCTTTTCGAGTTAGCTCAAGGAAAGCTACTGTATCCAAGGTCAGGGCAGATTAATGGGACTGTTACAAATTGTAGCAATTGAGCAATTGGATGACGACTATTATTGTACATTGGCATGATTTCCTTATTTGAGTGGTTAATCAAGTGTATGCCATGGTTTCTGGATTTATTTTGTTTAATTCTTCTTACCAATAAAAGGGTTATGATCTTTACTTCTGAAATATTTAGTTAATTGGAGGTTTGAACCCAATCTAGATTAGAATTGTCACTTTGAAGGCAAACAGGCACACAAGTAACGTACTAATAACACAAGTTAAGCATGATTATTATGGTATTGTCCTTTCCAAGTAAGCCTAATTTTGAAGGAGCTATTGTTTAGTATCTTTATTATGATAAAAAGTTGGCAGAGCATTCCAATTATGAAATCCTGTCCTTTTAAAGTTGAGTGTAATTATTAACTTTGATTAATTGGATCTAATAGTGCCA